TGGAACTTTTAAATGCTTACAGCCTCTTAAGTTTATTCTGAAATTTTGTTAACTTTTATTTACTTTCTCAAGTCTCTTCTGCAGAAATAAATRCAAAATTATCAGCTTTTGAATGTTCCTTTGGATGAATTTTTTACATCTGAGYGATGAACTGTTGAAACTAAAATGGACCATTCCCTTCTATATGCTGTCCTGTGAAATACTGTGCAAAAACTGTATGAAAAATTGTGTCAAAAGAAAAAATGTYTCAGTCAGGTATTTAACACCTACTCATGTGTCGGTTTCTTATCTCCAAATGTACARTTCATGGGTTGTAGGACTGGCCACAATAGCTTTTTTCCATTGCCCCATCAACTGGTACTATAACCTTATTGGTGGGCCATTACTGATAGTTACTACTGAACATGTGGCTTTGCTGATGAAAATCTGTTGCTTTATTCCCCAGGTTTACTGTAACTAGATGATCTGTGAGGGATGCCTACAAACTTTCTTTCAGTGCCCTCCACTCTATCAAAATCCTCCATTATCATAATGTTTACATCTTTAAGTTGACCCATCCTGTCCGCAAATGGCACATGAATTCGGGTCAAAAGGAGGGAGCATTTCAGACCCCTGAACCCTGCCTATCCTTTTGCCTTCTCTCATACCGTTCCCTTTTCTTCCACATTCAAAGGGGGKTCAATATAGCTGCATATCCCACCAAGTAGGGTTATGAATCAGCACAATAGTTTCCAAAAACTGATACATTCYTTCAGGATTCTCTCAGTATGAACCAACAGATCATTTTCAATTCAACAAATCAAAAGTAGTACAAGGAACATGTCCGGGAAAAAACAGCTGATACTCTGCCCCCACTCTTTGTCTYAGTATGTCTCTAAGCCCAGCTCACAGTAGGACTAAAATCCTTACTTCCCATGTGCTCTTTATTTTTATCTGTATCCTCTTTATCCATCTCCATCCCACTGTTATAGGGGGTTGGAATGAAGGGAACTAACATTTGCACATAAAACCTCATCCCCTTTACCAACATTCACTGTAAGATAATATTAAACTGCAATGACACATTTCCCCCATAATCCAGTTTATAAGGTGGCGATAAGTGATGACAATATCTCTTCATTTTATCTTTAGCCATTGAATCTCCCCTAAACTTATTCCAGTTTTTTGGAATGGTACTCGGCTATGGGGAGGAACTGTGGATTGGCATGTTCCCATTGTTAAATTTAATGACATCCAAGTTATTACCAACCTGCTACTGGAGAGGATTTGATGGAGTCTCCAATCAGTTGGTCAGTACATGCTGCAGTCCTGTCTGATCCAATTSTCCATTGCCAGAGGAAGCAAGCTGATCTAGTCAAAGCTTTTGGCCATTCCACCTGGATCCCCCAAACTCCCAACTAGATTCTGCTGGGTGCAAGAAGCAGATTCACACACAGAATAGAGATCATAGCATRTCCTGAGTTGGAAGGGATCCACAAGGGTCATTGAAGTTCACCTCCTGGCCCTGCACAGCACCGTCCCCAAGAGTCACACCACATGCCTGAGAATGTTGTCCCAACACTTCTCAAACTCTGTCAAGTTGGTGCTGTGACCACTTCCCTTGGGAGCTTTTTCCAGTGCCCAAACACCCTCTGGGTGAAGAACGTTTTCCTAACATTCAACCAAAACCTTTCCCTGACACAACTTGAGGCCATTCCCTTACTCCTGTCACTGGTCACCAGTGAGATCAGTGTCTGCCCCTCCACTTTCCTGTTGTGACAAAGCTGTAGATTGCAACCCAGGCTTGTTGTCTCCAGGCTGAACAGACCAAGTGCCCTCAGGTGCTCCTCATACAGCTTTCCATCGAGAACCTTCACCACCTTCATTGCCTTCCTTTGGATGGTCTCTAACAGCTTTATATCCTTGGTGTATTGATGTCCTCAAAACTGTYCCCAGGACTTGAGAAGAAGCCACCCCAATGCAGAGCAGAGCGAGACAATCCCCTCCCTTTTCCAGCTGTCGATGCTGTGCCTGGTGCACAGAGATGTTTGTTACATGACTGTGCACAGATGGGTGCTGGCTGGTGAATCCACAAGCGTAGCACAGCCTCTGTGTGCCAGCCACCCACTTTTATACACTTCAAACAGTAAGAGATCAACATCTTCCMTACAGACACAACACTGAAGCTATACTGTACCTACAGTGAAAGGTCTAGAGAAAACCTGAGACAGGGGAGATTCAAATTAGATGTTAGAAAAAGATCTTTCACTGTTAAGGTAGTCAGGCATTAGAATAGGTTGCTCAGGGAGGTGGTGGAATCACTGTTACATTATGTGGAATATACAAAATTTTCTTAAGAAAGGATGTTGTTTAGTGTTTAATCTTTATACACTTTCAAGCCTCATCAACAAGAAGGGAGATTTAATCCCTGAAAYGGATAGCAGCTAGAAGCTCTAAATTATGTTCATGTGTTAAAACACCGARCTACTTGTAGGTAGAATTTACTTGTTAAAGTTTAAGGCTGGACATGCTTCAGTGATCTCAGACATGGGGGAGTTTATCAAAGCTTTGGAAGAAAGAATGTATAAGTTACAGGCCACAAGGACATTTGGCAGARCTCCAAARAYAACAAAGAAACTAATAAAGACAACTCAGCAACTGTGCTGAAATCAGCTCTGGCTGGGTAAAAGGCAATTCTGGCAGGGGRAGATCTGTGACMACTGACTCATGGACCACCAACCCAAGAAACCCATGGGCCCACAAGAAGAGAAAGACTGAGCATGGAGACTAATTAGCATGAGAAGCRAGAGAATAAYTAACCAATAGAATAKGAATTAAKAAAAGAACTATGTAACTTGTAGCCAATGAACACAAATTCCTTTGTGTGCTAAAATGTATAAATAGCAAAAAGTTTTGATAGTTGGTGYGCTYGATTTCTGGACATCTAGCACTCAGGCTTGCACATCTCTGAAATAAACATTCAGTCTTTTGAATGTGTAATTATTGGCTTGTCACTGTGTAAYGAATCCGATTTTTGCAGACGACATCACGATCCCTGGGGGTGTCTGAGAGGCACCTGGATTGGTGCTGGGTGATGTGGTTCAGTGGTTTATGGGTTACAGTGATAGGGATGGGTTGGTGGTTGGACTGGATGATCCTAAAAGTTTCTTCCACCCCTGACGACTCTGTAGCCATGGGCTATACATTCCATAGTCTCCCCGTAAAGATACAGCACTCAAATATTTTACCGTGCAGGGTGTGTGGAGTAGGAGCTTATGTGAATGAGGGGCGGTGACAGCCGAGGGGCGKGTATTTCACCGTGTCGGTGTTGAAGGCTTGCACAGCACGAATCCGTATTTGGCTTAATCAGCAGCTTGTTACTGTGTTATCCGCTAATTTAACTGGATTCATGTGCTTTGCGGTGTTTCCAGCGCGCTCTCCCGGGCACAGGGAGCACCCAGCCCGCCCTCACGCCCGGCGCAGGCCCGGCGCGTCAGAGCGGCGCGACGCGGGGCAGCCATGGGCGTTTGTCAGTTCTTCCTGCGGGGCTACTGCCGCTTCGGGGACCGCTGCTGGAACGAGCACCCCCGCGGCGGCGCCGGCCGGCCCGGGGCACCCCCGGCACAAGGTACCGGGCGGGCTGGGYGCGGGGCTGCGGGCGGGCCCCGGTGCCTGCCGGCAGGAGCTCCGGAGCAGAGCGGGCCGGGCGGGTGTCGGCAGCAGCCTCTGGTTCGGCACTCTCGGGGCTGTGCTCAGGCAGAGGGTCTGGAGCACAAGTGTTGTGAGGGAGCTGGGGGTGACCCTGGAGAAAAGGAGGCTCAGGGGAGACCTTATCGCTCTCTACAATCCCTGAAAGGAGGCTGTAGCCTGGGGAAGGTTGGCCTCGTTGCCCAGGCAACCAGCGACCAGAAGAGGGGCCTTAGGCTGTATCAGGGGATGTTTAGGTTGGACATTTACAGAAAGAGTTATGAGACATTGGAATGGAYTGCCCAGRGAGCTGGTGGAGTCACCGTCCCTGGAGGCGTTTAAKGCAAGACTGGATGTGGCACTCAGTGCCGTGGTCCAGTTGGCACGGCTTTGTTTGGTCATAGGCAGAACTCGGTGGTCATAGAAGCCTTTCCCAGTCGAATTGATTCTGTGATTCTGTGWCTGCAGGATGGGCTACACGGCTTGGAAAACTGTTGTCATGAGCAGCAAACAAGTTTCCAGCAGCTGTGTGTTGTACCCAGTGAAGTTTGTTTCCTTCTCATCAGCTCTGGATGTTTGGGAGCTTTAGGAAGGAGAGGGGCATGACAGGGAGATGAAGGCTGCAGTGATGGCACGGCASGAACTCACTGCAGCCAATTGTCCTTATTCCTGTCCTTATTCCTCCCGTAACACACGCGCAGGTGTGTCCAAGGTCTCAAAACGAAACTCAGGAGCTCCCTGTGCTGGAGCAGAGACCCTGCTGTAGTAASAGAGGCAGGAGCCCCTATCATAAATGTATGGTGAGTTAAATGTAATTTTTTTCTGCTGGGGTAGTTACTTCATGAAACAACCTAAGCRAAACCGAGCTTTCTGCAGTGCCACCAGTTGCTGGCGCAGTGATCTAATTGAAGGTGTCTCTGCTCATTAAGGCACAGGGGGAGATCGATGACTAGATGACTTYTAAAGACACCTTCCAACCTAAACTGTTCCGTGACTCCATTTGAGAAGCTGRACTTGGGAACTCCCCTGAGTAAATCACTGGCTTAAGCTGATTAAATGATKAGGTTAACTCATTAGGAAAAAACTACRTTTTCATTGCCACYGCAAAACTAGTTATATTTACMGTTTTTGTTGATGCTGATTCATATMTTAATGATTAAAATTTTCTGTTGCTTGCTTTTTTGTTTGTTTTTTCAATTGGAAGTTACTAGTGGAAGAGGAGGATGGGGTACCTCTAACCAGAGATACAGTAAYGTTATCCAGCCATCTACGTTCAAGTCTGATACATGGGGTGGCAGCAGAGATCACGGAAGAGGATTCTTTGGCTCCTCTGACTTTGGTTCATCGGGCAGCAGCAGCAGAAATGCAGACTTTTCTCAGAACAGGTTCTCTGCATTAGCCAGCAGTCAGAGTGTTGCTGATGGCTCTAAAGATGAAGAGGAGAGACTTCTGTAAGTTAYATTCTTGTCTTACTAAAGCATTTAGAAGGAGCAGGTTGAAAGCTTACTAACTTCCTGGAGATAATGCAGGGGACAGGATCGTGAGGAGAAAGCTGGGGCATGGGAAAAAACCATAGAGAACATGAGTTCATTGGTTCTCTGGAATGATGCTGGCATGGGGAGGAAGTGATCCYTGGTTGGGGCCTGGACTGGGCAGATAGGCAGCTGCTATTAGTAAGCTGGTGTGGTATTTAAGTTGTGGGAAACAGGTCTCAGTGCTTGAAAATAAGAAGTCAGGACCCCTTTAAGAAAATGAATTATTTTACATGGTTTTCCTGACTCTTAAGACAACAGATTTTTCTGCCAACAACAAAACTATTGGAACCTGGTTTCACAGAGGCATATTTTACAGTCAGTTTAGAGTTACCAGCATTTGTAATTGTAGGGCAGGTACTGAGAAGCAGCAGACARTGTGGTTTCCCAAAGAAGCAAGGTTTTGGAAAGACTTCCCATTTGTTTAAGATTACATTAAAAATGCTTGGTTTTCATGGTARCAGGTTTTTCACTCTGAATTTGGATTCAAACCYGGCRATTGTTACTGGCATTTTTGTTTTGACCATRTAACTTCAYCTTTGTCACTGATTCTGTTTTGYTTGCTAGTGAATGTGTAGTGAAAGACATGGAAATTTGGGAGTCTTCTGGACAATGGATATTTTCATGTTACTCACCGATGAAAGAAAAGCTGAATGTCTCAGGTAGGTAATGTTTTTTGTGTTGTTGTGTACTGCTTCTGTTTAGGATGTTTCTGTGACTTGCCCACACACAGAGGTTGAACCTCTGCAACCATTTATAAGGTGGTGATTTGCCTGGTGATAAAACAGAAAGTAGCATTAGATGATGGCAAGTTCATTTGGATGTTCACACCTCTGATGTTCTGTAATGAATCCTTTTTTTGTCTCTGGTTATAGCTCTGTTGAGACAGACAATGTACCAAGGACCATGTATTTGTAGCTGTAGAGAGCAGTTGGAAGTATGAATCTGTTTTCTTGGAGGTTTTTGACTATTCCTGTCCTTGCAGGCTTTTCAGATGTCTCRCCAGAAGAATTGCGTCTGGAATATTATGACAGCAGAGCAAACAATATTGTTGGGAATTATGTAAGCATTTTTAAAATGTTGGCTGGTGTGGACACTCTTGGGACAGGACTTGTTACCTTTCTTCAGGTGTCAAGTCTTGATCCATTTATCTCCCAGCTCTAGGAGATGATCAGAATGCCAAAACATGTTTCGATTGCTGTGCACCGAAATGAATTCAAAAATAGCTTCTAGACACTCCTTGACTTAATCTTGTCCCTGCTCCTGTGTGTTACTTGTAGAAGTTACTTGAATCTTGTCTCAAAAGCTTAATACCTCATATGTTATTAGTCAATTTGATTGTTATAGGTGGTTATTTGCTGCTTTAAATGGGAGAGTGGGCAAGCTCATTTGACCTTGTTCTTTTACATTCCTTTGTTGTAGAGAATTAATGATGAAAATAGCAGATACATCTTTTCTAGAAATAGATACATAGATACTCATTTGGAATGAAGGCATATGTTTTCAAATAAAACATATCTCAATAAATATATATCATTCCTTCTTTGTAGTCCTGTCAATATCAAGGAAGCTRGCAGAGTTTAATGTTGTGCCAGGAAGGAAATTAGGCTGTTGGATAGATGCAAGTACAAATTAATTCAAGCTACATTCCACTCTTTCCTCTTCTTGGTTCTGTGTTACAGAAGGAATGGCTCTTGTCACCACTCTTGCTTCATATGTTTAGATGTACTAGAATTGCATTCTTAGAGACAAGAGATACATAATTAAAAAAAAAACCCTTCAATTAAAATAATAATCCAAAATAATAAAAATAGTAAATAATATGYTACATGTAGCTATTAAAAACTATAAATAAGTTGTGATCTCATCAAATCAATAAATGCAAGTTTGAGAGCAGTAAATGCAAGTTTTYCTAACTCTCAGTGTATAGATGATAACTATATGATCCAGTTCTCTTACAAACCATTTAAGTACAGCATGTCTTTTCTATGTTTCTATTCTTAAACTGGCTCAGAATCTGAATCCTCCAGTTTGTTGTACAAGAGCAGATACCAAGCAACATGATCCTGCAGCATGTGACTAGGCACAAAAGAATTATTGATGTTTGTGATGTAAGACTCCTTTGAAAAGTTAAGGAATTGGTCTACAAAAAGATTACTCATTCCATCTTTACAGGCATTTGTGACATTAGGTGTTTTACTTGTTTAGGTTTTAAGGAAAATTCAGTTAGACTAGGCATTGAATTACATGTATTGCTGAATTGAAGTATAAATGTAGGAAGTTCAGTTTGAAATTTCTGAAAGGTTTGAAGACTTTCCAGTTTTTTGTTTAATACTGAATCACAGTTATCAAGACACARATACTATTTATTGCTGCACTGTTTAGTGCGGTTATCTGATGGATCACGCTAAAGGGGTTTGATTTAAATTAAAGAAGTTAATTTCATCAAAACTATTTTAGGATGATGCTATTATACCATTCCAATTTACAGTATTTTGCAAGTGGGTATTTTTGTCTGCAAATGTGGAAGAAGCTAAGGCAAATCTTAGGACTTCAGTTTTCTGAGTGGGTGCATAAGTGGAAAGGCCATATTGAAGAGTCTGTTCTCATATATTTAAAGTTTACATATCTTGTGTAATTTTTCCCCCCAAGCATCTAATTCAGAAAGAGATAGAATTTGGATTTGAAAAGCTCCTGAACGTTTTTTAATATTATCCCTATGTAAAGTAAAAGGGTTGATTTAAGGACAACAGTAAGAGAGTTTAAAGGAATTCTCTGTTAAAAACAAGGCAGTCAGCTCCTCATCTTAAGTTTCAGGGAAAAAAGTATCTTCTTGGGTTAATGACATTTCTAATTCTAGATATTTGTTTCCATTCAATTGTCAGATGATTCTTTCATTTTTAAGTCTTCATTAATRAAAATATGCTTTTCTTTCCCCCTTTTCAGATAGATGCTGTCCAAAAATTAGCACTACAATGGAAAAATCGACTGTTTCAGTTGAAAGCTTTAAATGCATCAACAAAAGCAGCTTTGGTAAGTATTAAGAAAWAGCAMCATGTCTCTGTKCCTGATGTCATTTTTTTCATGTATGTATCTGGAATTTTTTCAGCTCTCTGCTTTCAAGACCACGGGCACTCAAGCAGCACCTGCCTTTGGACTGGGAGGACAGCAAACCTCAGGCT